GCATAGCAGTACACTGTGCTTTAACGTCATCAAAACCAAATTAAAGGTACAAAAGCTACAGTTCCTTCTGAACCAGGAATGATTCTATGTTTTATCTTAAGACATATGTCTAACTCATATACACATTCACTCTTACATTAACTGGAAAAATACGTTTTCTTATGTATTTTTCTATGGGTGAGCTCATCTTATCATTTTAGCTTTATTTCTTAAACCAATATTCATCAACTTTCACAGCACCACAAAGACTTCTCTACAGAAGGAGGAAATAAATATTTAAAAAAAAAAAAAAAAGATGGAAGAAGAGCTGCACTGGGAAGCCTGTTTATCTGTCCAAATTCAGAGATGCCTCATGGAAGAGGAATCCCCATTAGAAGACAGAAAGAGCTACAAGGAATACCCTGTTCTACAACCTTAGGTTGCTCAGAAGTTTTCTAGACATGATGCACGCACCATGCCACAACAGACACAAGACAGGATGGATCATCCACACACATGATGTTGCCAAGATCGTATACTACATCTGCAAGTCTTTGGTAAGCATGTGAGACAAGCTTCCTACCCAGAAATTGTAACTTAAACAATTTTTTATAGAAAAGTACAGCGAGAGATCTCTCTTGCATGATTTTAAATCTTCTTGTACAATGCACGAGGTTTCTGAAAATCCTTTATCACTTCACAATAATAAAAACATTGCCTATCTTACTAGCCTTGCTCCTCAAAACAGTAGCAAAAAACATTTCAGGTAGTGCTTAAAAACAAATTGTGCTGGAGGAACGCTGAAGAAAAGATTCAGCCTTAATGGCTTTGGATTCAAAAACATTGTCAACAACTGGAAACTGAATCTCACAACGGAAGCTGCCATGAAATCTTGGCAACCTGTCCTAACTGGGGCTTACCTGGGGGACTTAAATACGTGGGTCCTATTTTTGATTACCATCCATTAGTTCCTATCTTTGGCAATAGTCAAATATTTGAAAGCATAAAGGAATTTTAAAAATTCACTGTCTGCTGCCGACATCCTGAGCACACTCACCCTATGCTTTCTGCAGACACTGAGCAAACCCGAGCTCCCAATGCAGCCCCACGGGTGACAGAAACAGGTCGGGAAAGAAAAACCGGCTGAACCCTAACCTAACCTCCTCTGGTATTTTGGAAGCCCTCCCGTACCCCTCCTGCCATCAGACACTTGATGAAACTCCATCCACCAGGCATCCCTCCGTGGGTGGACACCAGAGACCGCCGCATTTGCC